GTGCGCGTGGCGGGTGCGCGCCAGCAGCGGGCGCAGCGCGCGCGCCAGGCGGCGCAGCAGCGGCGCGGCGCAGCAGCGGGCCGGCGCGCGGCCTCAGCTCGGGAACTTGGCGTAGAGCGCGTAGTGCAGCTCGTAGCCGGAGAAGCGGCAGTACTGCGCCTCCTTCTGCTCGTAGCCGCACAGCGAGGAGAAGCTCTTCAGCTGGCGCGGCGCCGCGCTGCCGGCCGCGTCCTGCGCACACGCACGCACACGTCACATTCTGCGGTGAGGGGGGATTGTGGGGGGAGCAGGGGGCAGCCGGGGGGAGGAGGTACGTACCGGCGTGGCGAAGACGGTGAGCACGAAGCGGCCGGGGCGGAAGGCGTGCAGCACGCGCGCCACCACCTCGTCGTAGCTGGACACGGGCACGTTGGACTCGAAGGACACGTACGAGCAGGACCGCTCCGGCGTTATGTGGATCGTCATGTAGCAGCCCTGACACACGATACATCACGTCACATCACATAATATCACGTTACATCACGCGACATCACGCTACATCACGCGCTCTAATGCACTGCTCACATGCTGGAGCGCGCTGCTAATGACACTATCGTCTATGTATTGTTGAATTGCCGCGAGACGAAGCGATTTTAGTAAAATATAGCTCGACTTTTTATGATTTATGAAACTCCTTCTCTAAAGCCTTCTCTAAACTACTAATAATGACAAGTAAACAGGCGGCAGCAAAGAAACAAGAAACACATTACACGATATACCGTATTATTTTAGTGGTAAAAGCAAATGATAAACAGCTATAGAAATAACAAAAATACTCTGTAATTGATTTCCTCTACAACAGTATCCTTGTGCAAAGACAATGGAGTCTCGCTGGTGAATAACATGTGTCGGACTTACTGACGGTATGTCGCTCTCTCTCTGACAGCATGCACATGTGGAAACTTATATTACATACATTTATCACAAGTTTTACATGACGTTACTAAATACATAACACATTCAATGCCATACATAAAAATCATTGTGGCATAAAAACGTGTTCAGTGAACTGTTTGAATGTTTACATTTAAGTGATAAAGAATTGCACTATACTAACATCTTTGGCGACTCCGTTCATGGAGTACCCGCAGGGGTCGAACAGGTAGTCGTCGATCACCATGCCCGGGATTATTTTATCTATACCGGACTCCTGGAAATATTACACAGACTTAAGAATTGAGACATTTAATTTTAATTATGTACGGATCGGATTGATTTGTAATGCCGCTTGTGGGGTCTATACGACCCGGTGTGGGGTCTAAACGACCCGGTGGGGGTTCGGTGTGTATGAAGGAGGGAGGTGGGGTGGCGCGTACCTTGGTGGCGTGGTGTGCGGAGGCGCTGTGGGCGCGCGTGAAGATACTCATGACTGCGGGGTCGAGGTCAGACATGAGGATCTCGATGGTCTGGTCGGGCTCGCAGCCGGCGCACCCCGCGCTGGCCTCGCTCGCCTCGCGGTGCTCCTTCTCGAGCGCGGCCACGGTGCCTGCGCACACACAAACAGTCACACTTTTAACACGATCAGTACCGACTCCTGTGAAAAAACCTAATTATGATATAGTTTCGTAAGTGGAAATTTACATAGAACTTCTTAACTGTTGATTATTTAGTTGATATTTGTTGTAATGTTGCGTAATACAAGAGGTTAAGGATATAACATGAAGCGCGTGCGTGAGTCACACGGCCGCTCCGACATCGGCTGCGGCGCGCGATAAACCATTGATCCTACGCTATCAGCTCTTCGGGGAAATTTATTACTGTTTTATAGTTTTTATGAAGAAAATTAAGTTAATCTTAAACGTTTTTTACTTAATACATACTATAAAGAAAACTTGCAAGAAGAATGTAATAAAGTTCCTTTCTAGAACTTTTTGTTAGAAAGTATCTCGAAAACGACTCAACGGAATCTGAAAGTACACAGAAGCTAGACTTTTTTTAATTCCGCGCGGACGACGTCGCGTGCGTCAGCTAGTCATACATATATTAAATGAGATGAGTGATAAATAGAGCAGAACATTAAGATATAAAGAAGCATAAAGATGTAACCTTCAAGCGGCAGCAGCGTGTAGAGATACCAGCAGTCTTTCTCAGGGCCCATGATGTATGCGCGCCCGTCACCGAAGAACGAGTCCAGGAGTTCCACCTGAAAACATATATTACATATCACTAACACATTATATACAACTGATTGACTTAAAAATCGGTAAATTAGTAAATAATCAACTCTGATTATACATTTTTTATATCTCTACAATTATTGAGGAGGAACATATGTTTAAGAACAACACGAGAGATGTTATGTTATATGTCATTTTTAGTGGTATTGCAAATTGCAAAAACTTTTAGCATTAACATCCTCCGCAGTAACATTTACAACGCAATAAAATTACCTCAAACACAAATAAAACTCATCGTAAAATGTCGTAACATCTTTTGTGCTCTTTTTATCTTCTTTTACTTTATTTAAATGATTAAAATAGTTAAAAAATTCTTGACATAGACATTGCAGTTAGAAACAAATACAACATTTACGTCAATCATCACAACTATCTTACTTCTTACTAATATTATAAATGCGAATATTTAGATGGATGGGTCATGTTTGTTTGAAGGTATCTCCAGAACGGCTAAATTCGAACTCGATGAAATTTAACATAGAAGGACAAATAGGCTACTCATTTCGTTTTGTTTTTTTTTTAGTTCCGTGTGGACGGAACGTGTTCCGCTATTTTACAATTAATCAAGAATGAATGAAAGTTCATCGTAAAGTATGATAATATTTGGTTTAGTTTTAATGGTCAATGGAACAAAGGCAAGGTCCTTAACCCTTAATTCGATGGTGTCCAGTGTGACAAAAAACTAATTAAAATTACTAAAAACTAATTAAAATCTACTGAACTAGTATAGAGAAAATTACGTAACTTTACTAAAATAAAACAGTTTTTTTGCTACAAGAAATTTCATCGAATTAAGGGTTAATGGCCCAAAGCAGTTAAACTGTATGAATTAAGGTCGTGAAACATTGATACCACTAATCAATACTTAACACGCGCATAACTTTGCTTATCTGCAAAATAACATTATAATTATAAGTAAAGAATATTATACTAAATTATATTTAACATTTGATAGTTGGAAATTTAATACTTTTACATGCCACTGTTGTTTTAGATAAGATACATAAATTCTCCTTTAAAGAAATATTTTTGCTTTTACGTTTTGTAAGTGAATCAACAGAAGCATTATTTTCAAAAGACCGCAGCGTGCGTTGTTTACCTCTAGCGATAGTTTTTATCAAAGCACGTGCCGTACAACGCGCTGCAACATGAACGTCTTGTATATGAATGACCTCTCTGTACACTTACACTCATTGTTCTACGATTAATTTATCTAGTTTAATATGTAATTAGCAGAAAGAGAAGTTATATGTTATTGATATGTTTTTAGAGATAGTACAGTCACATGACACGTATAGTTATCTAGTACATAGACTCGTGTAAGCCGGGCCGGGCGTCTGTCTATATTATCATAAAGTATACGCATTAACGTACTAATAAGAGATACTAGGTACTTAATAAAATTCGTCTTAAGCGAAAACAAAAGAATACTCACTAAAAACCACACTCCCATTAGATTAATCTACAATTAAATTTATATTGTTTTGCAGGAGTAAAATAGAAAGACTTTGTTTTAAATTATAATTCAACATCGTGTAAAACTTAAAAATCGAATCATCGATTTATAAAGTTATTCACCACAGAGTACCGAGTCCTGCAATCTATAGACATGTCATGCTAAAGGGTATCAGTAAAACGAAGAGCTTGTAGTACACACGCGTGACCAACACGTTTGACACACAGTGATGTGTCTACTGGCCTTATCTATCGAAAATATTGTACTTAATGAAGAGCACAACATGAGATAAATGCCATTTTAATAAAGGCTAAATAAGTTTACAAAGACTAGACAAAAGTATTTTAAATCTTGTAATTCTACAACCTTCCTAAAAACAATTTATCAAGTTTTATCAAACTTTATAACATTATTGGACCTTCTTTGAAATAATATTTTACGCACAAAAGATATGAATTAGAGTTGAGATGTACGGAACTGATTGTGTGAACTTTGTCAGAAGCGGCTGAAGCTTCCTAGCACGACTCTTGATAACGAACATGTCCACTGTGATAACAATTATACATATATTTTTTTAAACTGATATAGCTTCTTTGCTTTATCTTAACGACTTGTGACGAAAGCAATTTGATAAACGTAAATTGCTTAACATTGAACACGAATGAACTGAGAACTAAGGAATAGTATGTTTTTGTGTTCAATGCAAAACGCCAATTACTAAGAGCTTTAGCTTAACTGGCATATTTATTGTCAAAAGTTATACATAATTGAATACATTTTTGCCGATGTTGCAGACGTTAATCATATTACGTAGAACTACCTAAGTTAGTGTTATTGACAGCCGCACTCAGGATCATTAAATGGTCACTAAGGGAGACCATCTACGAAAAACTTGCATTGTAAGTGGTGAGACAGATAGACACATACCTCGGAGTCAAAGTTGTCGTGCGGGGTGAGCTGCGCGTGCGGGCGTGCGAATTCCCTGCGCGAGTAGAAGACGTTGTGGACGCGCGCGTGCCCGGCGGTGTCTCGCGCCAGGGCCAGCACGGCGCGCACGCAGCGGAGTGGTGTCGTCGTGCCGCATGTCTTCAGGATCCAGCGGCGACGCGACACGAACATGCTGCTCTCACTGAAACACACAACGCACAACATTTTATAATGGATTTCTGTCGCCCGCGACTTTGTCCGCGCGGTATCAAAAAGAACTTGATAAGTAGACTATGTGCCTGGACATCGTCCTTTAGAAGTCTAGTGCGTTACATAACATATTCGTAAACAAAACATAAGTAAGTTAATACTTGTTACTTCAATACTTAACAATTATCAGAACTTATTTACACAACGTAAACATAGTCGCTTTGTAGTACAAACAAACTCTCAGTTAAAAACGGATGTTGTGTTACAATGTAGACAAAATAGAAGAAGTGAATCAATTCATAGAATTTATTGTATGAATTATAAAGATACATTAGTCGTTCTGAAATCAAAGCAAAACGTACTTCTACATTATACAGCGCGAAATAATAACAAACGTTTCAATTTTCATTCATGTAACAAATTCTGTCTGTCATAATTAGTGAGGGAATGTTAGGATATGAAAAAAACAAATTAACTGCCTTAGTTTTACTTGAGGTACAAAATAAAATATTAGAAGACATCATCATCATCAGCTCACTATACGTCCCCACCGAGAGGCTCGGAGCCTACTCAAAGTTAAGGGTGACTAGGCCATAGTCAACCACGCTGGCTCAGCGCGGGTTGGTTGACTTCACACATATCATTGAATTTCTTCTCGAATATTAGAAGTATTTATTATAAAATCTGTCTTAATCCTCAGTGATTATTAAGTTAAAGTCAAGTAGAAGTGAATGAAACATAAGTAAGTAGTCGTGTTTACGGTACATTAGCAACTAGCAGTAACGCAAAGTGGGATAACGAAGCAAACGTCTTATCGATTGACCTCAATATAGTTTTAAGAATTCACACAACTATAAGAAATATCACAAACTGCACGCATCTCACACTATTCTCATCACTTATTAGAAACTCTCACTCTACTTTAACTAAAACTTTAAAGCCTATGTATTCTTCCAGACTATGTTCTACATATGTGCCAAATATAAAAATCCCTCACGACAACATTTAGGTAAATTAAAATTATGATGTACTTACCTTGTTTAACTTGGTTGATAATGTTACTACAAGCTAATTGTTATATAAATAAAAATAATTAAGGGCAGAATAATTGGTGTAATATAATCAGTATGAATAGTCAAGGACGGTAATTATCTACGTATGTATATTTGTCCCCATTGTGCGGGCTCGGTAACACGGATATCTCGATAAAGACGCGGAATTATGCGTTGGCTATATCAAGCAAATTAACACCGCCTTGAGACAGACGCGAAGACCGATCCTTATGATCGGAATATATGTTTCAAATCACGTGAGTAGAGACTAGGAAAAACATGCATCAAGAATTTTGTAAGAAAACTAATACAAAGAAACATCTATTTGTTTCTATGTATTTATTTCATTTATATGACAATTTTACATTGTGCTTGTATTACTGTGATTATGAGCGTGGTGCAGATGAAGTGCATGTAATGAGGGGAGAGGGGTCGCCGAGCAACAGGCGCAGTCAGGTGTAAAGGAGAGTGGGGGATTCTGGACCAGGATGCAGGGGGTGCCGACTCTCCCCCGCTTATACGTATGAAGTAGATAATAATTTGATACAACTCAGTATTGATTTATAAAGCAATAGGCGATAATAACAACAGTACATGACAATTATTTGAGCTTATAATTTTTATAATGCAAATAGCTTACAACAAGAAAGAAATAAGTAGGGAAATACACCGATTCTTATTGAGATGTTGTGATTCTATATTGTTACATAATATAATAGAAATAAATGGCTAGATTTTACAGCTTTGTGTGTACATTTACAACTTGTGTTGTAACAAGTAACAACAGGCCGCTTGTAAGTGCACACACACACACAAACACGTCACTTACTAAATATTTAGAATTATCTATAAATTAGAATCGGAAACAATTTGTAATCAACGTGAACGTCACGTGCTTTGTACATGTATCATTGAAGAAATTTGTCTATCGACAGGTCACTGGACAACAACCATAAGTATGAGCAAAGCAAACAATGTCTTATTACTTTTAAAATTTCGTTTGAGTGAATATCATTTTTAATTTCAAACAGCTACCAATTTTATTACATTACTAGCTGTAGCCAGCGACTCCGTTCGCGCGGAATTAAAAAAAAACTCAATTTGTAACCTATGTGTTCTTGAAGACTTTGTTCCGTCCAGAACCGTCCAGCAGTTCTGGAGTTACTTTCAAACAGACAAACATCCATCCATCCAAACATTCGTATTTATAAAATTAGTATGAAGTAAGTTTGTTATATTCAATCAAAACATTGGACAAATAAAAGCTCCATTCAATTAATAATCGATGTACAAACATGTGGAAAAAACACAATGTAACTATATTAATTTGTACATTGTAACAATCAGATCGAGTAAGCACCGAAACATGTAAACAGAGACAGAGAGAGGCGCTGCCAGGGGGCGGGCGGGGACACGGGTGCGAGGGGGATGGGTGCTGCTGCACGGCGCAGGTGCCGATCGATAGAGGGCTCACCCATTCCCCCCTCACTCCCCCAACTCCCCCCGGCCGCCATATGCAGCTGCCTACATTCTGGAAGCTTCTCCCGGCGGGCGTTCGTCAGGCCCGGAGTTCCCCACTTTGATAATACCTACATAATACATTGATTGACCGTACGTTGGTATATTGATTGAACTGTCAAAAGCATTCAATTTGCGCGTCGAGTTTTGTTATCGGACACGCTTTAACAATTGCGTTTTACAGCACATACACTCGACATTTCATTTAAATAGCTCTGCATAACTAATAACTTAATCATATGCATTAAAATTTAATTCTATTATGTATAAAATTACGAGGCACACGAGCCAGACGAAATCATTGTCAAAATATTGTAAATTAATATATAGCGAGATGTATAAACAAGTTGTCTTAGCAAATAGTACCTTGCTGATTAGAATGTGTGTGTAAAATAAATATTAAACGATAACGCCTGATAACAGATGCAATTTGAAAAGTAACTTTTACTTATCAAGACAAACTTTGAGAAGAATTTCTCCATTTTAGTATAGAGGATCGCTTGCCTTTAACATGGCCGAATTTAAATACAAATCTTACTAATATTATAAATGTTTCGATGTTTGTTACAAGGTATCTCTAGAACAGCTGAAATGATCTCGCTGAAATTTGCCATAGATGTAGAACATAGAATGCACTATGCTTTTTTTAATTCCGCACGGACGGAATAGCGGGCGACAGCTAATGTTAAGTCCACAGTAAATGTAATGTATCACATAGATAGAGCGTGACTCCATGCACGGAAGTGAGTGCACACAAACAGTCACATACAATGCGTCGTGTTGGCAAACAAACATTTCCCAATATAATTCCATATCATTCGGGAGCATCATAAATATATCTCACGTGTACACATGCTCAAGTCGCAATTGTAACTTTATATCAAACAGATTATTACAAACATAACTACACCTCTTAGTACTAGTCAGACAAGACTATGAAAAAAGGTTTTAATCGCGTTAAATAGCCTTGCATAAAAAAAATATTGTCAATCTATAGAAGGCATTCGTATGTTTGTAAAGACGGGTTATGGTTGACAATGGTCCGGTCCGCGGTCGAGACTAATATTACATAACACAGTGAGAGATCGACCTTGGAGATCGTTTGCTAAGGCCAATCATCGTGTTTGTTGCTCGCTTGGTTTGTCTGCTTGTAACCGAAGGCCATGCTTTTTGCGCGCCCACGCAGACGACGGGCGTTTGTTTGTTATCCCATTACAACCGATCTGATGCACGTCTAACCGTGGCTTCATCGTCTCCGTTTAAAACATATTGTTATCTTTGTTTTGTCAATGATAAGGAGAGGGATGACGATATGCTTTACATAGAAATGTTTTTTTTTTAAAAACCAACGGATATGTAATGGTCTTATGAGGGTGCGTAATTTAAAAATCATCGCAATATAAATTTGAGAGGGGGACTTATGTTCTTAGGTGATTTTGTCAGTATAGTGACATAGAAAAGTCTTACCACAAAAAACTAATTACGTAATCGATACGTTAACTTGGATGATCACTCGTGTTAACAAGCGAATAAAAATAACTCTTTTTAATAACATATGAATGATACGACTTCATAAAAATGATGATAATGTAAACCGGTTACGTAAATCAAACAAGTTTCGATAAAAGTTCAACCAAAACATAGATTAGAATAATCATAAATCAATCTGTACTGGAGGAGGATGACATTTCAAAACAAAATATCATAATAACCAATTTTAATAATATCTTACTTTTATTAATTATCTTACTACTATTATAAATACGTTTATTTGGATGTATGGATTAATGGAAGTTTGTTATATTGTATCTTCAGAACAGCTGAATGGATCTCGCTAAAATTAAAGATGTAGAATATAGTTTGGAAGAACACATAGCCTACTAATAATGTTTTATTTCAACACCGCAGAGACGGAGTCGCCGGCGACAACTAGTAACAAAATAAAACTAGTTTTCAGCGCAACGTAATTTGATATTTGCGAATTTAAGTATATTTTGTGAATAAATTATATTTTATTACATTTCCTGATGCGGTTATTTTATGATGGATATATAAAAATATATTAAATTTTTAAAATATACATATACCTATTGTTGACTAAAAGATCAAAATTTGAAACATATTATTGTCTGTAAGAAATGAGGCGACGACGAGTGCAGTGAGCATGCGCGCCCTGCACCTTGACCTTAGCAGGCTGCCCCACCCCCCTGACAGCCAGGGGGCAGGGGGTGGCAGAGTAGCAGGGTGGGGGCGTCTCAAGACGTGTGAACAATGCTTGTTCCCGAGTGCCGGTAAATATAGCTCCACAATATCAATCGTCGACGTGACATATCATGATAGTGTAAGACGATCTTGCCATAAAAGTGCTTATTTATATAGATTTCTGTTTACGATTATTTATTATTATTCTGCTTGTACACTC